AATCTATCATACGATTCTCATAATCATATCATAACATAACATAACTTGTATGGGTATCTTGGGGAAAACTTAATTGAGCTCAGCCGGTTACACGCATCACACCTTGTTCTTTTCAAAGTGTATCTCTTTTCAAGTTCTTTTCAAAATTCCTTTTACAACAAAAATGATTAGCACGAAGCAAGCAGCATTCGGAAATTGAGTAACAAAACCCAAACATATCCTATCCAGGCTATCATGCAATTCAACAAGCATATACAACAGGCATAGCAGACTTCTTCTTAGATCCTTAGCCCTATTCTAGCATGCAATTCTCATAGACATATAGTAGGCATAAAAGGCATCCTTCCTAGATCCTGCATCGTAATCTATCATACGATTCTCATAATCATATCATAACATAACATAACTTGTATGGGTATCTTGGGGAAAACTTAATTGAGCTCAGCCGGTTACACGCATCACACCTTGTTCTTTTCAAAGTGTATCTCTTTTCAAGTTCTTTTCAAAATTCCTTTTACAACAAAAATGATTTTCTTTGAAAATTCACATACCAAGTCCTTAGTTTGAGTCCAGACATACCCAAGAGTGTGCTCGAATGCCTCAAACAAGGCTCTGATACCAACTTGTAATATCCCAAAAATCATGGCTAAAAATTTGTTTTTAATTATATTTCTTATAAAACTGTTTACTGAAAAACAATATCAATAACATATAAGTTCGTAAACCTATAATCAAAATTCATAAAAACGTGTCATGGGATAATAACAATATATCATAGTACAATCCCAGATCATCATAGTACGGAAATCATGTGTGTGATGCACTGCTACCGTGCCGGCTCCTTCCCCTTCGACGAAGAGGTACCTGAAAACAAAACTAAAAATTGTAAGCACAAAGCTTAGTGAGTTCCCCCATCATACGACATACCATACATAACACATAAAGCATAACCTAACTGGCTACTAACCACCCCTTCGGTCCTATCGACCGATACCTTGCCTAACATATCAGGATGTTGGCCTCCCCTTCGGTCCTATCGACCAATACCTTGCCTAGCGTATCTGGGTGTTGGTATCCCCTTCGGTCCTTTCGATCGGTATTCAAGGACTATTTCACCCCTACCACTACCACATAATGTCATAGCAATATGCCATGAACTGTCTAACATAACTGGGCACTAACTACCCATTCGGTCCTTTCGATCGGTAATGGGGTCTAACATACCCCTCTTATCACATATCACATAACATCATAGCATATTAGCACGTAATCATACAAGGTAGCAACATACCAAATAATTATCACAAAGACAATTATCTCTACTATAACTCTTACTGGTGAGCCAGCCTTGGTGCCTTCGACCCACTTCTACTGACACGTGACTCACCTCGTATAGCGAACTGTCTAAATTGTCCTTGCTGTCGTGATTAACTCCTCTCAAGCACTACACATAATCATCTTCCTTAGTTACCATTTCATGGTCAACTTAGGTCAATGTAAAAGTCAAATTCAACATCATGGTCAAAGTCACTTTTGGACAACTCATCGAGTTGGTCCACCAACTCATCGAGTTCCATGATACAAATTCGGGACCTTTTGCATGTGACTCAACGAGTTCATCCTTTAACTCGCCGACCCCATCTTCATGCTAGTTGGGATGTTTGGTCCTTGACTTGTCGAGTTCCTCATGAACTCGTTGAGTTCATCTTCATGCAAGGTGGTGCTCTTAGTACTGGACTCGCCGAGTTCTTCCTTGACTCACCAAGTCCATCTTCACATTCTTGGGACATAGCCTTGAATTCGCTGAGTTAACTTATACACTCACCGAGTCCCATGATTTCCAGGTCCTCAATGAGTCCAAGTGACTGAGTGTTCTTCTAACTCAACTCATGGTCCATTATTAAAAGGGATTTTGTGGAAATTCGACCTGGCTCGCCGAGTCACATGGGTGACACGCTGAGTCCCTCTATGTCTAAAACTATACACTCGATGTCAGTGGGTCTTGATGCATTAAAAATATAAATCTGACCTCCTAGGGTCCATAATATACATAAAGTTCCAAACTTGACGTCCATGCATGGGGTTTTTGGCTCAAAAGGCCCTAAACTGGAGTCTACAAGATGCATGGGGTGCTTATGGCAAGAAATTTGGCACCTTTATGCCATAATAAACCTCAATGGTTCCATATCTGAAGCCATACCTTCATAGAACCACAAAATCCCGAGTATGACTTTATAAAAGCATAGAAAAGGCAGAAATGAACCCTAACTAGAGATCTAAGATATAGATGGTCAAGGTTGAAGCTTTTTACCTTGAATGAGCTGGAAATGAAGCAAAACCTCTGGATCTACTTGCTTCGTCTGGGACCCCCAAGTTTCTACTTCCTTCTTCAAGCTTAAAACAACCAAAAACACACAAAAATGGCTCAAGAACACTCCAAATGCTTTAGGGTTTCGAGCTAGGCCTTTTTTGGATTGAGAGGGACGATGGAGGCTGGGTTGGGGCAAGATAAGGCGTTTAAATAGGGTGCAAACCCTAAATATTAGGGTTTCATCCATACAGGCCTACTTGTCGAGTAAGGGCATCCGACTCGGCGAATAGGTTCTTCTTCCTGCGTCCAATTTTGACCTCTACTCAATGAGTTGGGGCCCCCAAGTCGTCGAGTCCCATAACAAATGTACAAAAATTTATAATTAAACTACGTATCATGAACGGGGTGTTACACCTCTGCCCCACTTATTTTAGACATCATCCTCGAAGTCTGATGATGCATCTAGAAAAAGCTCGGGGTAATGCTCTCTCATCTCGTCCTCCGGCTCCTAAGTCCATTCCAAGCCCTTGCGGTGCTACCATTGCACCTTCACCAGCTCGACCTTCTTGCTCCTCAGATTCTTCAACTTCCTATCGAGGATATCCACTGGTCGCTCAATGTAGCTCAGACTATCATCCACTTGAATGTATTCTCATGGTACTACCGCTAAGTCGTCTACCAGACACTTCCGTAGCTGAGAGACATGAAAGGTGTTATGAATCTGGCTATGTTCGGCTGGCAGATCCAACCTATACGCCACCTTTCCCACTCAAACTGCAATCCTGAAAGATCCAATGTACCTGGGGGCCAACTTGCCCCACTTCCTGAATCTGATGACACATTTCCAAGGTGACACCTTCAGGAGGACCATATCCCCGACCCGGAACTCCAGGTCCGAACGGCGCTTGTCGGCATAACTTTTCTGCTGACTTTGAGAAATCTGAAGTCTGCTTCAGACCTGCTGGATCCTCTCCGTTGTCTTCAGATGGAGACTTCGGAACCTCCCATCTCATCACGGCCCCCACCTTGGCTGGGTAAACCAGAATCTCGTTCTGGTTGACAAGGTGCCCAAGAAACTACACCTCGCGCAACCAGAACTCGCACTTTGAGAACTTGGCATACAAGCTCTCTCTCTCTGCAGGGTATCCAACACCTCCCCGCAAGTTCTCCTCATGTTGCTCCTGTGTCTTGGAATAAACCAAGATTTCAACAACGAAAACTATCACAGACCGATCCAACATTGGTCTGCATACGCGGTTCATGAGGTCCATGAACGTGGCAGGAGCATTGGTGAGCCCGAAGGGCATCACCACGAACTCGTAGTGGCCATAGAGAGACCGAAAAGCAGTCTTTTGTACATCCTCGTCTCTGACCCTCATCTGATGGTAGCCTGACCGCATATCTATCTTGAAAAATCAAGATACCCCCTGAAGCTGATTGAGAAGATCATCAATCATCGGGAGTAGGTAACGGTTCTTCATCGTTACCTTATTCATTTTTAATGCAAGTATTTCACCAAATAATATTAAATGCAGTTTGCAAACTTCTTCCGATGACCCTTTTTAGTGATCTAGCGTATTTTTGGTCGATTTGAGGGATTTAAGTGGTTGTAGTTTCTACCAAATGTATTATATTTTTACTTAAAATCGGACAGTAAACTAAACTCTAAATCAAAAATCGAGGGGATTGCTTGAGGTGAACGTTAGTGGGTGCAAGAAGTGAACGGTGATGTTGCTAATTATGTTGGTAAAGAACTAACCACAAAAGAAATTGAAACAATAAGGACCATTCTTGTAAATTATAATACGTAGTTAATAGAGGATCTGTTAAAAACTAACGAAAATAACTTAATAGACATGTAAATTATAAGTTTAATAACTTATTGAGGAAAAAATAATGCTTTAATGAATTTGATAAATGACTATAATTGATTGGGTTATAATGAGATTTATCATATCATATCGGATTCTCATGTCTTTGCACCTCTACATACGTTGATGTGCGTGTGTATTGTATTTTCAATTTCTATATATTGATTGACTTCCCTATAAACCGTCGATCGAGCACCCTAAAGTTATATAATTAAATTATTATTTAATATTTAAACAAATATTGCATTTGCCAAGAAATTTCCATAACAAGTTTCCACTTAATCTTTTTTTTTTTAATTGGAAACCGTGTGGCCCAAAAAAGAAGTAAGAGACTTTCAATATCAATAATAATATAAAAGAAAAGCCATTATCAAAGAATTTTATGTTATTATAAATGTAATCGAACATTCAAAACTATTTACTAAACATAAATTTAATATAATTACACAATATGTTTCTTCTTTTTATCACTAGTTGCTTCTAAAAAGTTCAGGTGGATGATCGATTTGATTTCCATTCGAATATATCATCTTAATTAATTAATATATTACTAGATGATAACGTGTGTATCAAAATTCGATCAAACTAACTCGCATCAAATTAAGTTAAAAAGAAAAGCAATTGCACTCAATCAAGTCGTTTGATTCTATATATCTTATCTCCACTTGTTTATTTCACAATTTTCTATTACGATATACGTCACGCCATAACGCAGCTCAGATGACCTCATTACGATTTATATGCCTATATAATTATGCAACTTATTGATTGAAAACATATGACCAAAAACATATCCATCTTCTACAGTTCTACTTCCAATGGAGTTGGAGGGTTTTCATAAATGTGAAGCTAACTATGTGCCTTTATCACCAGTTAGTTTCTTAGAAAGAGCCGCATTCGTTTACGAAAAAGCAGCATCTGTTATTTATGGTGATGTGACATATACATGGAAAGAAACATACAACCGATGCATAAGACTGGCTTCTGCTCTCTCGATTTTGGGACTTAACCATGGACAAGTTGTAAGTTTCCTGAGCTTTATATATATATTATAACCTTTTTGTTTTGTTATGGTTTCGATGTTATTATGTATATGATTGATTCAGTTTACATATCTGGAGGTTTTGTGCAAGGCCAAATTTGTAAAACCTTTTTGATTTTAGTAAAATACAATTGAACAAGAGTTAACTAATTATAACATACAAAGTATGTTTTTCGTATTTTGTACTTGTACCTCATATCCAAAATCATCGAGATTATGAGAAAATCAACTCCCAATTTCTTAATAAGAAAAATTATTTATGTTAGAATGTCAACTCCTTTCTAGAAGCACATTATTTATATGGCATGCATAATAAATGTTTACAAGATGACGCGTAAAAAGATTAGTTCTTGGACGTAATTTGATTCCACTTACCTAACATGTCTCATTTGTCGTCCTCCTATTAATGCATTTCACATTCTTAAATTATGATCTAATCAGTAGCACCCATCCTCATCAATTTCTGACTTGTTCTTTCTTTGTTATTGATATCTTTAACTTTTATGTGTTATTTAATCCATTGGTGTTGAGACTGGACGAAGGAGGCCATCCTTTGGAGATGGATTTCAATCACAAATCCTTGGCTATGTTAGTTTTGATTTTTGTCACGTGTTTATTAAGTTGTTAGAAAGTTTATTCAGTTAGTTAAGTTAGTTGATGTTTGGTAATCATTTTGGTATTTTAACACATTTTACTCAATGAAAAACTATCTTCATTCTCTCTTAGCCTTGATTTATGACATGGTATCAAATTCACCTTGATATATCCCTTTTCATCTTTTCATCAATCTTCTTCATTCTTTCTTTCTCCCTTTTACTATATGGCAATCTGATGAAATTAATAACTCTCATGTCATTAATGCTTCAAGTCCTTTTTTTCTTGGATATTCTGATAATCCAATTCCATACTCAATTCCAATGTCTTTAATGGAATAGATTTTACTGCTTAGATGAGGTTCATGACTACTATTACTTTATTTCCCAAAAAACAAGATCGGATTTGTTGATGGAACAATTGTTCAACCCCTCTGTCACTTCCTCTTCATACCCAAGCTCAAGTTGGTTTCATGCCAATCAATAGTCATTAGATTCTCTTGACAAAAACATTGTTGATAAGGGTTCTTTTTCTTCAAGCTCAACGATATGAACAATTTGGTGGGGGGTTTGATCAATCAAATCCGACGACAATTACGATCATATGATTTCTCATCTTCCGGTGCCAAATTAACAAAAGTTTGGGATTAACTACATATCTTTTAATATCTCCCTTCGTGTTTATGTGGAGTTGTAGGAATCAATACACATCTTGAAAATCAATGTCTAATTCAACTTCGATAGGTTTAAATGACACTTAGTTGTTTGCTGGTAGTTGATATCAAGTAGCGGATAGCGAATAGCTGGTAGCTGGTAGCGAATAACAAATAGCTGATAGTGGGTAGCATGCAACTGAAAGTTGTAGTTTTTATTTATTATATGAGTGTTTGATAAAAGTAGTTGGAAGCTTTTGAAATATATATATATATATAAAGTTAAATAAAATGACAATTGTTTTAAAAAGACAAATATATCAACATATATTTTTAAAGACAATTCTGGAAATTGGTTTAAAAAAGTCAATGGGGTTTTGTTAAATGTTACATCAAGTAGCATTTGTTTAAACTAAAAGCTAAACGTTCGTGCTGCCAAACGAAACTTTTTATTTAAACAATAGCATCTTGTAAAAAAAATTAGAAACTCTCAAATGTTCTGGACCAAACGCACTCAAAGTCATTCGGTGTCAAATCTTAATGCTTGAGCATTGCTACAACTTATTCTTTAACCGTTCATAATTCTTGATTTAATACATAATAATATCACCTATATGTCTACTATATGTCTATTATAATTGATACATTTTTATTCTATACTGATATATATTATTCCAACACCTCCCCTCCCCTGTCCCCCCCCACCCCACCCCACCCCACCCACCCACCCCCCCCCCACACACACACACACACACCTATATGTCTATTATAATTGATATATTTTTTTCCTATCGGATTCATTCCCTCGTTTTTAACCTTTTTTTATTAATTGAACCTTGCTATATATATATATATATATATATATATATATATATATATATATATATATATATATATATATATATATATATATATATATATATATATATATATATATATATATATATATATATATATATATATAACTCTTTGATTTGACGGAAAGGAAAGGGCATTTGAGAAATTCGATGATAAAAAATATGTGTGTACAAAATTATTTGTAAGATAATTTACACCAAATTTTATAAAAACAAGAAAATCTTTAAAGTCTATGGATAATAAAGATATAAAAAGGTTTTACAAAATTAATTATATAGAAAATAACTATTTTTATAAAAATGTATTAGCAAAAAGAAATGAAAAAAAAAAAAGTCATAAAAGCTCTACAAAAAATATTTATGAAAAATATTAAGTTTAAAAACAAATATGTAAAAAAAATGTTCAAAATCTTTAAAGTCTATGGATAATAAAGATATAAAAAGGTTTTACAAAATTAATTATATAGAAAATAGCTATTTTTATAAAAATGTATTAGCAAAAAGAACTGAAAAAAAAATCATAAAAGTTCTACAAAAAATATTTATGAAAAATATTAAGTTTAAAAACAAATATGTAAAAAAAATGTTCAAGTTCTACAACAGAATCACATTAAAACGAAACTAGCCAGACACTAAAAAAGTTACAACATACAAACAAGGGAAATATAAGAATTACACCGGTCAAACTAATTTAAAGGATTAAGTCTCCATCTATATTTCAACCATACGAAAGAGATTAACTAAATATCACCGGCTGTCTTTATTGGGTTGCTCCTGAAACTTTTGAAAACTAAAGCATTACTAGTTTTCTATATGCTCCATAAATCAGAATATATGAGGGCCCATAGCAATCTAATCATTTTCTTATTCAACACCAAGGTTTATATCATCGCTAATATGTCAGAAACACCAAGTAGATTTCAATAATATGGACCAATTATAGAACCAACTCCAAACTTTTTTAGCAAAACTACACTTAAAAAAAATGCTCGACATCTTCTTATTCAATACCACAGAGCTGGCAAAGAGACGATGACAAAATCACACATCTAACAACAAGGTTGTCGGTAACTTAGATCTTCTTTAAACATAAACGTCAGACAAAACAATTCATTTTTAGAGGAGCCCAACACTCCCAATGAAAATGAAACATGTTCGGGACCTCTTGCGCAGTAGCCATCAAGTTACGCAAAATTTGAACTGTAAAACCACCCGTCTTGTTACCTTTCTGGACCCATAATAGGATTCGATCCCTATCTTACCAAGGTCAAGCTGATGTGGCATCCAAATTTTAAAAAAAATAAAAATAAAATAATTTTTACGTTTTCGTATTTAGTTTTATTTTTACGTATTCTTTCTACATATTGGTTCACATATAATCTCTTTTTTTAGCAATTTAATTTTCATTCGTTGATTAGAAAAAAAAAATCCTAATTTCTTATTTTTATATATGTTTCGGTATAAATTCGAGTTCTTTACATTTCGATATAAATTTTGTATACTTGTTCGTGATTATTAATCTATACTTTTCTTATATGACTTTGATTCAATATAATACGTTTTCATAAGCTGGTTAGCTAATGTAATCGAGTTTATATATTTATGTACGCACAAGTAATACAATATTAAATTTTTTAATACAATCATCAAAATTTAATTTATATAACGGATTTACAGTGTTATAACACACGGCAAGAAAGTTTCAAAGTTATTATTATTTGTGTGGGGACATTGTTTTTGGCCTCGTCCATACGTGGCATATGCAATGTGAGTGTGCTACCAACTTGTTGATGGTTACACTTTGACTAACAAACATGAAAGACTAATAAAACATGATTTCTTAAAGACTTCGAAGTTAAAACCCTATTATATATTAAGTCTTTTTTGTGTTTGTATTCAAATAATGACTTTTACTATATATATATATTATATATATATATATATATATATATATATATATATATATATATATATATATAACATAATTTTGACTTTGTGAGTGTAAGTTAGTACAGCTAAGAGTATAATATTTTATGTACAATGTACAAACATTAAATGCTTGAAGGTCAACTTTAATCATTAAAATTTAATGATTTCTCACTTGCAACCCTTCTTATTAGTAAACATATATTTTTTATCATTTTATTTTTTTTAAAATATCACTTATATCACCTTAACTTTTTATTTTCAAAGCTTTCGTGTGTATCCACACGTCATCGTATTATATATATATATATATATATATATATATATATATATATATATATATATATATATATATATATATATATATATATATATATTATATGATTTTCATCATTTACTTTTCTAATACGCAACAAAAAAAAAAAAACGTAAAAATATCGTGGCTAAATACAGGCTCAATTACTAGTTATTATTTAAATCATAAAAATATTAAGACAAATTTTCAAAAATAGTCTTTATGGTTTTCATTTTTTTTTTCCCTAAAATAGATCTTATATAACTTGTTTTTTTGCGCTAATGGTCCCTTAGAGCAAACATCGCACACTATCAGTACTTATGATTAACATCTTTACTTTTCTATTTAATATAACATGCATCTTTACTATATTTTGATATTTTGTTTAATTATTAACATCTCTCTCTCTCTCTCTCTCTCTCTCTCTCCATAACCCATCTTCCATCTAGTTTTAACACATAAAAATACCACCACCACCAGTTGCCGACACCGTTGGAGACTTGTTCGTCAGACCACCGTTGATACCAACCTTTTTTCTTTCTTTCTACTGCCACGATGGCCACCTTTCTCTTTCTCTTTCTTCTACTACAATGAATGCATCATTCTGTCAGAGATCATGAAAACCCTAAGGTCGATGTTGACAGTAGCGGTCAAAG